CTGTGCCTTAGAGAGAGACAAAGAGAGAGAGAGAGAGAGAGAGAGAGAGAGAGAGAGAGAGAGAATCTCGAAGTGTGCGTTGCTTTTCTGATCTAAACCAATAATGATCATAAGAATCACACATAACATGTTTGCTTTTGTTTTTAGGATGTAAAACAACGCCTTTTTTCTGTTAGCTCTGTTCTTTAGAAAACTATTATTAAAGATCGTACGCTTTGAAATTTGATCCGCTGAAGTTTTTTTATTTTCCTTTCTTTTTTTCTTTTAAATTAAATTCGACAACCCATGAAATCATATCATCAAAGATTGCAAACGTACGTCGAGTCGCACATTTCGGCTTTGAAATTAATATTCTGTGCCCAGCTTCATCACGCACACACCCACAGATACATACGCATGGTGTTATTAAAATCCTAATTCGTTTGGATTCTTTGATGCTTATCTCTCTCCCTATCTTTTTCTCTCTGCTTTAATACTTCATTCTCAGCAGTCACAACACATTGCCCATCTTCACATCATTATATGATTGATGAGCGATCATTTACATTAAGTATTACGATATGTTTCGCAGGAATACACAAACCTCAAAAACACAAGAAGAAAAAGAAGAACGAATTTTTGTAGAGAACGACCTTCGTCGTTATTTCTATGCCGGCACGTATTTGGGTTATTCTAAAGAATTTTTTGGTTTACTGCTTAGCTTGCAGTATGTGTGGAGCTTTTCGTTTGAGTTTCGTTTTAAAATCAACAACATTTTGAAAAGGGTTTCGCGATGTGAGCCGCAAACTAGAAGAACTGGCTACAGAGCAATTAATCTTTTTGACAAATGCCATTGAATTTCATTAGACGGAACCCAAGAAGCAAGAAAAGAATTAATAAAAAATTTGCAAATTCGATTCCCGTACAAATTTAACAACAATTGCAGACACTTAACAATGTTGTTCAAAATGGTTTCATTGTTTCATAATTTTGTCGTAATTTGTACCATACATCGAGCACAGACATACGCTCACTACGCTTTTCTGCTCTGACTCTTTTCATTAAACTATTGAAAACTTGCCGGCAAAAGTTAAGAAGAAAAAAAAAATTGAAGTAATCGATAAAATATAAGGTGCTATCTACTCTAAGATTAATTATGCAGAGATTTATTTTGCCTGCTTTGAATAATAAATCTAAGGACTTTTTCTATTCACATATGAGCAATATCATAGGTAAATGTTGTGCAGGGAATTTTTTTTGGCTAAGTTTCACAGAACTAGAACGCATCTGATTGGGAAATGGACGACTTAATACGCAGGTATTTAAGACGGATACTGTGTTATCTAAAAGGACGGAAACAAGATTACATACTGCATACCAAACCAGAGAGAATACATGATTAGTGTTTATCTCAGGAAGTGCGTGCTTCAGAAATAAACAATGACATCTCTATATAGCTTTAATGGAAGCTACAAGAGATGCGCTTCGACTGAAAGAGTTTCTAGGCGAAAGCAATATGAGACAAACCTCTGTACTATCGAATTCGGTAACGATCGCCGAAGTACTCAAAAGTTTGCAGCGAACTATATGGTGTGGCTGCCGAACAAAACCCCTTGATATAAGATAGCTTTTCATATGAGAAGTAATACTGTAACGAAAAAATAAGATGAACTTTCCATTTAAACTTCTTCAGTTCCATGAAATCATGACATTATTATTTTTTTGTGTGTTGATACTGTTGTCTTTGATATCTATGTAGAGTTCCATGTCAATATATTCAACTCCAGCAGAGTTACACATATCTTTACGAACTTATAAACAAGAGTTTTTTGATTTGTACTGTCTGTGAAGCAAAGATTTCAGACTATCAGGACGTCATAAAAGGCATCATTAATGAAGATGGGACTTGGATCTGTGCACATAACCTACCTGGAAACAACCGATCAATCAAACGAATGTCGTGATGAAAGTGACTCAAGCTGTGACGATTTGCGTAGTTTTCTTTCATTATCATTGTGTTCTTCATTATGAATTCCTTTCTAAACTAATTCGAATTTTTTAAAGGCAGTGACAGTGATTTGAATGAATAAATAGAATGCTTTCATTTTATAAACAAATTCACTTTATTTATTGGTTTATAATGCAAAGAAAAGAATTGTTCTTCTACGTAATTGATCTCACTTAGTATTCATCATTAACGACTTCGTTGATATTTAGCAAAATTTCGTATTAGAGGCCCCATAACCTATGGGTATTTATGATCAGCATGGGCTTATTAGAGAGCATAGATATAGCTGACGGTGTTTTTGTTTGACTATGGAAACGTCAGGAGACGTAAAAATTGAAAACGAAAATTGAAAATTAATCTCGCGCACAATTACCTTCGGTTCCACTAATCTTCACTATTACGTTGGGTTGTGATCGAGCCCCTTGTAACTACCACATTTTTCTTGAAACAAAAAAAAGAAAAAAAAAATGAAAAAGCGATTTTCTATAAGATTGGATTGGCATGGCCGGTGTGCAAAATACACGTGCGTGAAAAGTTTCATCGCTATTACTGTTTTAGCTTTTGGATAAAAAATTATTTCCTTGCTTCTGAAAACAGAGATGGTCTCTCTTTCTGTCGCGTTTTCCTTATAGGAACCCGCTTCATTTGATATCTTCAGCTTTCTTCAGACGTATGGACAGACACGCCTAGATCGATCACATTTTCGTGCTGTCTGGGAAAATATATAATCTTTATAGAAATTCTGATGCCTTTGCCTGGCATATGACTGGTTGCAGTTGCTGTAACAGGCTGGGTACATCCGCAACAATCGGTAATGGTTACAAGATCAACATTGCCCAAATTTCCAAAGGGAAATATTTAGGAAAGTTATGTAAGCACTTCGTAAGCGAAAATTGTGCGGATCGAGTACAATTAATAAAACTGGAGTTGTAAACATTCAAGGCGAATGCAGTTCTCGTACCTATGCATTCACCTGTACATTCTTCTACATCTGTCCTATTATACATCGAAATACTATTTCATATGTTCTAATTGAATAATATTAATTCACGACACCCTGTATTATTCATATGGAAGTAAGACTTGATATAAAATGCAGTTTTATATTAAACGCTGAAGAGAAAAGACGCGTTTCATTACGAAATTACGGGCACAATATTACTCACTTAAAATAACGTTATTTTTTTAATTTTTTTTTTTTTAATCAATCCAAAAATTTAAATATAGGGCCAACCAATTCTTCAATTAATCGTTCCATTGACGAATTTTTAATATTCCAAGCCTTGGAAAGATTAGCTATAGCGTAGAAATCACATGAAGCCTATATTCTCTTCGCCACTGCATATGTCGGCAAACTTACTCAGTCACATGGAATATTTTGCATCATATCTGATGTGAACTGACGGCGCTTTCCGATGAGCGTGTACAAATTTTCAGCTTGTTTTTATTCCACGATCAATGTGTTAGAGGTCACCGTAAAAAGTCCCCTTTGTTGCAGCTTTCTCACTAGACTTTTTTTTTACATCTTTTCTATAAGTGAGGCTTAAAAGTTAGGAATTTACCGATTTTCCCAAACACATATCATCAGATTATGCAAATATATATATAGAAATAAAATTTGATTACAATAGTCTGTCTGGTTAGGCATACGTATATCTTTCATTTTTTTGAAAAATAAAAGGTTCATTCATAATTCTTATTAGATCATTGCTTTAAGCCTCTTACTGCTATATATCGTTAATGGAAACCACAAACTCACTTACACATGCATACGTATGTTAGCCATAAAAAAAGCTGTAAAAAAACCAATTCTTACTTCGGCCTGACTGTAGACATAAAATAAAATGCCAAACCATATTATCAACAATTTTGTTTTGATTATGATATTCGCAAACAAAGCAAGAAAACTAAAATGAAAAACGCTTACCAGATAACCATAGGAGGGCAAGTTGCCATCAAACTTATCAGAATTGAAAAACTACTCAAACCATAAATGAGTTCCAACTAAAAATGGAATCCAATGAGTGTATGCGAAATAAGCTCAAGAAGTTTCACTCAATTTTTAGGGGGGATAAACATGAACATCTAAAGCAGCTAACAAACCATATGTTCAAAGGCAATAATGATCACGTTAGTCGGCAAACGAATGCCAATGAGTAAACTTCAGTGAGCGGGTGATATCTATGCGGGCGCGTGTGTGTGATATATTTATAAAGAAAAAAAAAAAAAAAAGAAAAGAAAAGTAAATATCACTGTGAGAGAAATATTTCAACAGCTGAATGCCTGTGCGTGTGTAAGCGAAAAGCACATAAATACTTAAATTCACACAACCGTAAGCTTATAAAAAAAATTAAAAGGCAAAAGTAAATAATGAAATAAGCGAACCGAACAACGTTTACTAAGAATTCATGCCCATAAGTAATAAAATGTATATAAAAAATAAATTATTATAATAATACTAAATAAATAAATAAACGAAACAAAAAAGATTATACGCAAGCGAAATTTCAAAAAAAAAAAGAGGAAAAATTCATTAATAATTTCGAGGAAGCATAACATGTGAAGAAAATTAAAAACAAAACGAAGCGAAACATATTTACATGAGATCAGTAATTCTTCAAGTGCTGCCCATTGTTTATTGAAAGTCAAGCAAAATATGTTTTTTTCTTCTCCTTTCTGATTCAAAAAAAAAAAAAAAGTAGTGCGTAAACTAATAGTGGCTGAGTACTTAACATCAGAAAATCTACAGCATTAGCAAAGAATATAAGAAAGAGAATGATTGGACGAATGCGTGACGGGGAAAAGAGCGGCAGCAATAAGAATAGTAACGGTATAGAAAATGAATCAGCTGAGTTGGTCTCGTGTTGTTAATATTTGCTTTGGATAAAAAAAAGTTCATAAAATTACTTGAATAGCTGTTGTACGATCAATAACAATATATTTGATACAAAAAAAAAAATTAATAAAAAAATTAATCTATAATTTCCACAAAACGTAATGAAAAAATATATAAAAAAAAAAATTTGAAAATAAAAACCAATTATTTGAAAACCATTTTTGAAAAATTATTTCTTTTTTATTTTTAATTCTGGACTATTTACGGTTATTGCAAATTAAAGATTAATTATTCAATCAAAATTATAAAATATTACGGCTGTTAAGCGACATTAATCCAATGGTATTCGTTGACGTTTCAAACTAAATGGTGGGTTAATTATCAATGTTTTCTTCTTTTGTTGATTTAATAAATGAATCTATTACACACACAAAAAGGAAAATGTGGTCTTTGACTTATTTACGAGCACTCGATAATATCGAATTTTAATAAGTAGAAGGAAGAGATAATAAATATTTTTTTACATTAAGGAGAAACCGTACAATTTTGCCGCGCAAATGCTAGTGTAGCGAAATGATTTTTTTAAAATAATTGAACCATATTAAAATGACAACTTTGTTCGAATTTACTCATTCAGTTTGAAGATCTACTGTAATATCTAATGGTAAAGTGCCTCGCCTGGTGAAATTGATCATTAAGTGTGTGTTTGTGAACGTCTTCAATAAATAACGTTACATTCGTCGCTAAATACGCTATTAAACATCATTTTTTCTTGTCCGAGAATATGATATTCATTTGCAAATTTTAAACAATTGGAGTGAATTAATTCGTTTATTAAAAAATGGGGGAAGCCAAACGTTGCTTACCAAGAAAATAATTGATTCTACGGCCTCTAATAAGGTCCACAACTTTCAATTTAGATTGTTACTTATGTACTTCTCTTACATTTTCTATAACAATTTTTGACATAATATTCCTGCGCAAAGTTTTAGGTGAGTAGCTTCATTTGAAAGTCTCCCAGCTAAAGGTAAAAAAAAAAACGACAATTACAAAGCCTGTAGTTTCTACTTGCCCGAAATAATGTTCAATTTATTGTTGGCCCCCGGTTTTTAGCTTGTTTATTTAGATAACGGCATTTAAAATAAATAGTATGCAAACTATTAGGTTGTTGGAAAAGCGATTTCATTTTTTCCCAACAGTGGACTTAATTGCATTTTTTCAAAGACAATTTAATACACAAATTTTGACAACTGATACAACGATTCTTGCTTGTGAAAAAGATCGATTGATTCTAAACAGTCAAATATGTAAAGTAAAGCAGCACTTTCCGCATATTTTATTTTGTTGTTATTAGAAAGGGAAAAACGCTCTTCAAGACAGATGAGGGAATGTCGGCGTCAAAACTGGTTTGCATAATTGCGATCTGGCGATTTTCATCTTGGCGATGCACCATGTTCCTTAAGCCCAGTTAAAGCCAATCAAGAGACAACAAAGGCAAGTGACGAATAACAACTGATGAGATCGATGAGTTATTAAATTTATCGAATTTCATCGGTCATGATAGAATGTTTATACACTATAAGGAAGTCGTTTTTCGTTTCCGTAAAAAAAAAGGAAATTGCTTTCCGGACATCCCAATATTTTCCTGTTCAGAATGTAAGAATTTTTTGAGACATTCTAATAAGAACATAATGCAGCTCCCATGTCCATACCGGCAATTCGTATTTAAAACAACAACAATAAACCGATGTTCGGTATTGCGTAGAATGCTTAAAAAGCATAATATGACTGTACTTTCTTCTTTAAATGCGGTGAAATGAAGAAACGGAAGTGCGAGCTTCTCCTAGTAACTTGTGCCACCAAATGGGTTTCATGTGACGCTTTATTAGAAAAAAGTTTCGACTGTGAATTCTGATCGAGGTTATTGTCAGCAAATAACGTAATGTTGTCTTAATAATCACGTGACAATCGTTTTTAATTTTCGCTTGGTCTTAATATTAATATGGCTCGACTAATGCTTTACAATGCGGTAACAGAAAAGAATTTTTTTTTCTTAGAAATTGTGTAAGTAAATGACATGTCTCTTCTTCATATCTGTATACAAAATTATTATTATCTGTCTGTTTTTTGAACAAAAGACATGAGTTGATTAAATATTTATCTAATTATCTCTTCATTCTTCTATATAATACCATTATCGCACTTCGGCTTTCGTTTTTTGTCTTTACTTTTCCGTTGGAACCCTCTCTACTCAATATATCTTAAAAGCAATATGTACTAACTCGCAACAACAACAGCAACGACTAGTCGTCTTCTTTTCAAATGTATAACATTCCAGTTTATGTTGTTTTTCCTTTTTCCTTACCTACCTACAATGCTTTTGTTTTCTCTATTTTCCCTCTGCATACGTATAAAATTTCTATAAATGTCACCACCACAACTATCTCGGTGTGTTTGTATATCTCTACTTAAATATGCAGTCATATGTTTGTACGTGTGTGTACATTTGTTTAGATGAAACAGTTGAATAGACAGCTCTAGCAGACTATTACTGATAACTCTCGATAACCTATTTCAAAACCTTATGTGGAGTGCGTTTACAGTTATTATTAGTTGTGCATTCTTTCTCCAACTCATCGCATACAAGCGAACTTCAAAAGTTATAACCTCTCTTACGATTCTCTTCATTTCTTCTATTAGGTGGGTTTATGTGTTCTATGTATTTCTCTTTATTAGAGACGAGTAAAGCATATCGAAATCTTTTTTTTTCTTTCTTTCCTCAACAATTCATTGAATAATAATTGTGTCTTTTCATTTTCTTTTCCTTTAATTGAAAACTTTTGCACATATTTGCTTGCTTCTACTACCGCTTATATTTTGATGATTAGATGAATGTTTTTTTGTTTTTCTTTTCGGCTATCGGTAGACTTTGTTTTTGTATGTTTTTCTCACTTTCTTCTTCGGTGCCTGCGGTTTATTTATAATCTGTTTCGCTTCCCTTTCTTTGGTGTGAATAGTGTCTTCTTCTGCCATTATCGATGATTCTTTATCATTCATAGAATGAGCTAACATTTAGGAAGAAAGCCTATACGGCAACAGTTCATTCGTTTTGAGTCCCAATCAAAGAAGAAGAGAAAACCAGTTGCAACTGCTATGCGTGAGTGCGTTTTCTTTTCTAACAAATACAAAGAAAATAAGCCGTTTGCCTATCAACATGGACGGACACTTTGTGCACGACAAAGCTAACAATTCTTTCATGTACTTCCTTCAAGATTTCATCGGTGCACCCTGACTGCATCTGTAGAGCTACCACTACATTTTCCCGTTTTATTAACTCAAATTCAAGACTTTACACACTTTTCAGAGACAATATTCAATAAATTGCTAGACTTTATGCCAATTATTATATATGAAGAAAGGAATTTCCATTTAGCACATATAGCACATATTTAACTTTGCTGGCGAAAATTTTATACGCAGTCATAATCGTTAAACCATCAAGAACCTATTACGGAATGTCTTTGAAGAGAAAACTTTTTTTTTTGCATATTGACCGGCATTGTTAACAAAGAGATTTATGGCACAATATAGCGTAAAAAATTAAATAATTCGATCGTTAATTCATTATGTGATGCGCACCGAAAGAAAAAGTCATCGCAAGAAAATTAGGTATTTATGTTTTCCTTTCACAATAATTTTCAAACATACTCAACCCGTAATTAGCTGAGTCATTGAATTGTAAAAGCTTTATGTTGTCCGTTTCCTAACGGTTCGTTAAACAGTTAACATTTTCTTATCGAATTGCAAATGCCTTCAGCTCTTCAAAATAATTGTTTATAGGCATTTTCTGCTCTTCAACAGCTGTTAAGGGAATAGCATATGTTCGCATTATTGATTGATGTATATATTTGGCTTACAACCTTAAGTTAAAAAAAATCGTGAATTGTTATTTAATATGAATTTTTGTTTTTTAAGAAGTATATTTTTCGATCCATAACCCATAAGTTCAATTTTCATTATGAGAAAACTGAATATGTTATACAGTGTGTAGACTTTATTGAGCTACTGTACAGGTTCGCCTTAATTCCTTAACGCTAACCTATCGTTTATGCCTCTCAGCGAGAAGGAGAAAATGAAAATTGATTAGGGTTGCGGACAATAGCCAAAGGTGGAGGAAGGTCATTGCAGATACAAAGCGAAAAATGAAAATACAGCGACCGCTTAAAAAAAAAGCAAGAGACGACTAAAGTAAAGTTTGAGTCTTACGATGGCTCCTTGCTCAGGTGTCGAAATTGCAGATATGTCCTGCAATCCTTCTTGCGCTAATGGTATATCTTCTCCCAAATGAATTAAAATATCCGATGCTTTCTAGTTATTGGGAATAATTTAACCTAAAACGGGAAAAGTTGATATTCACTTTATTAAACCGGTAAAAGTCTTAGTTCCCAGTTCCTGTTCCAATTTGGTGTCAGGATTTAGTTCTTTGGTTGAATAACATTTTACAAATTCGCGACAATAAATAGCTGGGCGTAAAGCAAGAGCAGTCATCATTAGAAATGTTATCCAACATTTTGCGGGCTTGTCTCTCGCTGGAACCTGCAAGGGCTTTACTTGCATTAACATTGGAAACAGTTTAGAAAATGGTTGCAAATGCTTGAACAAGACGGACATAGCTTCGCTTCGATAGCTGGCATTTTTTTATTACAAAACACTTTTGTATTTTAAGTCACAAGGAAAATTATATCGAAAATATGATAGACACTTGAAAACCATGCGAGCATTAAAAGACTAAAGTAACAACAATAATACTTTCTTACAATCAAAAATAAAAGGCATTTTTATATTTCAAGTGGTCCTTCAAAAACACAAAGGAAGAGCAACTATGCCTTTGCTCGAAGAAAATGGAAACAGAATAATGTAATTTAAGGCTATTTCAAGTCTTGGACCGACTCACTGGTAATTAGGCACAGATTTTCAGTTTATATATATTGAGCATCTTAACAATTGGAAAGTCTTATCGTTAGAGAAAGCGAATAATTTGATACGAGCATAAGAAAAGCACAAACTTTCCACGCGGTAGTCGAAACATAAACAAAGCCTGTGCCAGGGACGACCCCTGGATAAGCGATCGGCCGCTAAAGTGTTAAGTTGACCTTTTCATACTTCCTAGACGTCTACTGCACATGTGAGCTGTTAACACCAGTGTTGCATTTTTCGCAAGCTTTAGGGGAATGGTAAGATGTCGAAAGGAAAAGTGTGCAAATGACGCAATGATCTCAAAAGATTCGCTGAACTATGCTTGGGAATTTAGAAAATTGAGACATTTTTAGTTTAAAGTGCGCTTCTCTGCCTTAAGGCTTCACCCAATT